AAAATTGTGGAGAGTCCATTATTTCCAAATTTAGGGGCGGTCGTGTATTTTTACCGTAAATTGGTATTAGTCGTGATTTTACTAGAGAATTCTCTAGTAAAATCACACTTAAGTCGGCTCGATAAGATACATTTGCTATGGTTATAGATCTATTTAACAAGACCTTAAGATGGTGTACGTATGGTAAATTAGTATTTCGAGTATTATACCGGGTGCGCTAAAAATACCGGATTTTCAGCTCAGCGATATTCTACAATACAAATTTTTGAATTTAATCTGTTTAACAACAAAGCCAGCTAAAAACCAGCTTTTATAGCCATTTTTTTTAAATCTTATAGGGTTTTTCGAAAAATTAGTCTATTTTTCATCGTTTAACAAATTTCTTTTTTGTGTTTTAAAAGCAGCTAAATTTTCCAGCAAACGATAAAAATGATTCACCTGAAGACGGCTGGAGAAAAAAATCATTGTCTACAACCTTTAAGCATCCTGTATTCATGTTGCAGTTAACGTTAAACGAACGTTTAATAAATACGTTGTAAAAACAAGTATTTGTGGAGTTTTATTTATTATAGAACTAACGTTAGAAAGGACATTAATATGAATTTAAATATAACGTATAGATAAACGTTATAAATGAGGCAAAAACAATCATTTACGTTATTAATAGACGTATATTAAACGTTTTAAATGTAACATTTCGAAACGTGTAATGATCGTTTTCTTAACGCCAAAATTAAACGTTTATTTGTTAGTATTGTTAAACGTTATAATCTGCGACATTTTAAAGTTGATTGTACGTTATAAATATATACGTAAAAACAAAATGGTGTTACGGTTTAAAAAAACGTTTAATTAACGTATGTGTGTTTACTATTAAAAAACTATTTTTCCATGTTAAATCAATGGAAAAACTTTAAATTCGATGATGGACCTTTTAAAATTAATATTAAGAGCTGAAATTTTGACAGAATTTTTTTTTAGCATAAGTGACGAGAGTATCACATGAATTTGAAATAAAAAAAATATTGCCTTATTTAAAACACCCTAGTATACATTAAAATAGTATAAAAAAATTGAGGATAATCTTTGAAGTACCAGAAATGCTAATCCACCATCATTTATTTTTTTAACGTATAACTTCTAGTTAGTACCCATCCAAAGTCAAAAATTTGGTCAATTTCATACTTGTGCATAATGGGCTCTAGCTTTTAACTTAGAATGGGTATTGATTTATTGATGCTTTATTTGATTGGGTAGTAAATGTGCATTTCATATTACAAAATAAAATTGAACAGTAACAACTAGGAACCACATGGTGACAATCTAAAATTTATAAAAAAAAAATAGTTTATTTAAGTTTTATATTTTTAATTGGACCCTGTGTCAACCCAGTTGCACATTAAGGTTTAATTTTTTTAGAAATGTAGTATTTACCATTCTGATGCCACGACTTAACTTTAATTGTTGTAGAATGATATCTCATATGAAAAAACAATTGTGAAAATTGATACATTTAAAAAATGCTTAACTTTGATCCTCAAAAAACTCATGTGGAGGAAAAAATAAAAATTTATATTTTCACAAATTATAGTTTATATCTTCGTTAATTAGGTCCAGTTAGTGCTATTCTGTTATTTTTACTTTTTTAGGAAATATGATTTTTTTGACAGTTTCTTTTTAAATAAAATTTAATAATACATAATATACTCAGAGGTGGGAAAGTTAATTCTGAAAAGTATCTATTTACTTTTCTAAGATACTTTAAATAAAATAATTAGTTACCTCGGGTAACTAGATACTTTGAGTTGAAAGTATCTTTAGTTACAAGATACTTTAGAAAGTATCTAAGATACTATTCGAAAGTATCTATAGTCCATTCCATTTAAGAAAAAAGCATTGAGTTGAGTAGGATTTATTACAGACCAATCACGACGCTTAAAATTGTGGCTTTTTTTACACAGGCGAAAATTTATAACCCATCTCTTTTTAATACGTTGGATGTTGATATAACCTCTCTCTCTCTCTCTCTCTCTCTCTCTCTCTCTCTCTTATATAACGTAGTTCTCATACACTGAATATTTTCTTATACAGCGTTGCCATGGCTTTTAAAACAAATTTACAAACTGACATAATAATATTATACAATAAACCAGCAGGAGTTTTTATAATATTTAAATTATAAAATTATATTATATTAGCTTTTGTCGGCAATTTGTCAAAAATATTTTAAATATAGAAAGAATTTATCTTTTCAAAAGGTTGGATTTATCGCACATTGGCAACGTAGCATCAGCTGTTATAATTCAAAGTGTATATTTTGTTAATTTATTACATGTTCTGTGATTTTTTGGCTTTATTTAACGTATAAACCGTTGTTAATAAATTTTTAATGAAAAACAGGTAAGTCAATTACATTAAAATCGCTTAACATAACCAAAGAAAAATATTTTTATATTTTTGAGACAATATTGATAATATGGACAATGTGGACAATGTGGAAAACCAACCCTCTGTCCTAAAAACAAATCTGGCCAATATATAGGACGAGGTCAAAGAATAATACTTTTTAGTATGGTAAAAAACATATCGATGAAGGAAAATCAAAAAGTGCCAGTGTAAGAAACTGGTATTTTAAAAAGTACCATTTGGTTCACCATCAAACAAATGGAACATGACGGAAAGGCTACATCACAGAACATAAGGGCTACATCTCCATTAAAGAAAAGAAAGCGGGCAAGTCAATATGACAAATTAAGTGAGGAACAAAAGAAGCACCTAAGAAAAGTTGTTCATAACTTTTTTATAAATAATAAAATACCAAATTTAAGTAAAATTTATTGAGTAAGTAATTATGTTATTGAAATATGTTTAATAATTGATTCGAAAAATGTTCCCTTAATGTAAATAATAAATAAAATAGAGGGTAGGTATACCAGGTGCTGTCAAATAATAAAAATGGGTTTAGCTTTAAATAAATAAGTTTTTATATTATATTATTAACTGTTTTTCATTTTTTTTAGGCCGAAAAGGATGATAACTAACCACCAATTTCTTGGACAAATTTATGGAGAATTTTAAAAAAACTTGACTTCAAGTATGAAAAAAGGTGTAGGAATCATTTACTGGTTAAAAAAAGTAAAATAGTAATTTGGAGAAGAAAATATATTGATATCAGGATCAAAAAATATATTACATGGATGAGATTTGGATCAATGCAGGACACAAAGCCCAAGGTGTGTAAATGTATTTGAGTAAAAGTCAACAGAGAATTATCATGAGGATATGAATGGAACTGTTTTTAAGACTTGGATAAAAAATGTTTTACCAAAAATAAAAAAGAACATTGTTATTGTGATGGATAATGCCCCCTATCATTCTGTTAAAATTGAAAAAAATCCATTAGCAGCATGGAAATTGGGAGGCCATTTTGACGTGATTTGTCTTTGTAAAATTTTGTTTTTTTAATAAAACCTTCATTAATTGCATTTGTATAAAAAAACTAGATTTAATTTTTTGAATAACTTTTTTCAGTTAGGTAAGTAGGGTCTTCATATGTAAGTTGTTCAGAATGAATAAAAAAAATCCAAATTTTTACAATAGCTATTTTATTTTCTTGACATCGGTTAATTTCTTACACCCAAATTTCATTATATGTTAAAATATAAATCGATGAATAAATAATAGATTAATTAATTTCATTCGATCAATTTCATTAAATATTCCTTAGCAAATAATGTTGGTAGCAATCGCTTATAACGAACCGTAATAAACCATGAACGATGGTTCGCTGTTTGTTATTTTAGAAAAAATAAACAAATTTCATATAGGTACATATAGGACATATGTATAGTTTATATTAAAAAATGCACTTTTCAAATCCATGAATGTATGCTTACACTCAAAGAAAAAATTAATTTTTTCCGTTCATTTACCATTTAATTTATCTTACATTTTTAATAAAACTCGGTCTACTTATTAAAAACTAAATTTTTATATTATAAAATCATAAAAATTTATTAAAACATTAAAATATGTACTATTTTCCACATCAAAAAAATGAACTGACATTTAAATAAGGAATGCAGTTAAATTATTGAGGTTATGTTGCTCAAATTATTGTTTATGTCTTCTTATTTTTTGTAAATAATATAATACATGTCTAAAGGTCTTAATTATTATAGTAAATTATTTTTTCATGGCATGGGACATTCACGGTTGCTATGATTTGTGCATATATGCAATATATTTGTTGTAACATATTAATATTCTATCAAAGACAACCGCCATTATATTTAAATTTGCCGCGTACTCCTGTGTAAACCTGTCTCGTTTTGCAGCGACATCTCCTTTATTCTTAAATGGAATGGACTATAAGATACTATATGAAAGTATCTAAGATTCTTTTGAGTAACTAAGATACTTTTAAGTAACTAAGATACTTTTGAGTAACTAAGTTACTTTTAACTAAAAAACTATAAAATTATAAAAATTCAACAAGTTGTAGGTTAGGTAATTACTTTGAATCATTCTGGAATTCCCCCAATTTTCTCTAAGAAATTATCCAAGTTGAAAAGTATCTAAATTATTTTTAAAAGTATCTTAGTTACTTTAAAAAGTTCTTAGTTACTTTTAAGTATCTAAGTTACTTGAATGTATCTTAGTTACTTTACCGAGTAACTTAGATACTTTACTAGATACAAGTTACAAGATACTTCTCCAAAGTAACTTAGTTAAAGATACTTTCTGTACAATATGAAAAGTATCTTAGATACATTAAGTATATAAGTTACTTTCATGTATCTTTTTTTTCAAGATACTCCCAGCTCTGAATATACTGTAAATTTATTATTATCAACAACCATGCGCCAAGGTAGTAACGCCAGTATTGCCTCTTTTACCTAAATATTGGTAAAAGTGTTATAATCTTGCAACGTGGTATCTTACGCATCCCGCGGTGCACTTGGTCCGTCGCGACGGCACCGACGATGTGCAGTCGGTATGCGGTATCGGTTCAGGCCTGGTGTTTTGTTTCATGGCAGGAAAACGCGCGTTTTCGCGACACTACGTGTTTATAACGGCCCTCGCGCTGCTTAAGTTTTTCTTACAAGTTCCCACTTCAACTGCTGATTTGTTGGGTAATTTAGTTTATTTATTAGTTTTTAAAATTTTCAGAATTTAACATTAAACAATTTTTTTTAAATCGTTAACGTTAACGTGTTAAGCAATATCCTTTAATTTTAATTAATTAAATAATGCTTTTAAATATTTTGTTAAATGATAATAAAATTTGTTTTTAAGTCAAATAAAAAAAAATATGTTAGCCTTTTTTCTTTAATTTTAATTAATTAAATAATGCTTTTAAATATTTTCTAGTAACTTTTGTTAAATGATAATAAATACTAAACTACCTTTTTTATACTTTTGTTACCTATTTTTTTTAACTTGTTTTCACCTTTTTTACCTTTTTTGGAGGTTTTTGCTTTAAACTACATTTTTATACTTTTGTTACATATTTTTTAATTTGTCAGTTTATTTTCACCTATTTGTTACCTATTTTATTTTTTTGTGTTCTTTTTAAATTTTGCGCCAATATTTTATCCAGGCGTGCAACTCAACGGTATATAATTTTTTCTTATGGTTACAGACTGTAACAGTAACTTTCTTTACAGTTACCTTCTTTGTAGTGAGCTTATATTCTGTCATAGAACTTCTGTGTAGTGAGTGTCACTCAGTAAAACACAGTTTATTGCATAGAAAAAGTTTATTGTGGGTATGTTCTGTGTTTGGGTATGCGGCTAAACAAAATTATAAACGAAACTTGAACTTTTAATGTTTTTTTTTTACCTTAAATACTGTTTTTTTAACCTAAAATGCTTTTTTTAGTACCTTTTTAATTACCTATTTTTCAGTTTTTAGTACCTAAATATCCCGACTTTAATAATAAAATTAGTTTTTAGGTAAAATCAAAAAAAAAAATATGTTAGCCTTCTTTTAATACTACTTTTATTTAGTTAATTTTTATTTTTTGTAAAGTATAATACATCCCTGATTAAATAAAAACTTAAAATATTAAGCTTAGCCTATAATTCAAAACATGTACTTATGTACCTAATTTAATACCCAAATTCGATCAAAAATGGCTTTAAAAAATTTTAAACAAAAATATTAGGTGTATGATAAAAAATGCATTATGCTTTATTAATTACCTTATTAATTATGTATATTATGTATTTAACCTTTATATACCGGGTGGCTTATTTAATATAAAATTATCTATAAATCAAGTATAGGTACTTGATTTTTTTCACGGCTTTTGAAAGGGTTATTGTATTATACATAATGCATAATTTTTTTATTTTCTTTTAGAACGACCTTTTTTGTATTAAATTATATTTTAACGTAAAAAAGAATTTATATTTGTATACAATAATTTACTAAATAAGTATGTAGCTTTCAGGTGGGCTGTTAAATAAAAGCACAAGTAAAGATATATTTGGGGCTAAATAATTCTGATTCAAACGTTAAAATACCTCCACTTACAGTATAATAAAAATGTTAACGAATTTTAGTAAGGCATTTTTTTAAATTAAAATTCCCTTTCTCGTAATGATAAAGAATTACATCAATTTAAAAATAACCATGACATCTGCACCCATAATTTTGTGCATGGTGTATTTTTAAAGCGGCCAAATCATTGAAAAATACTTATAACTTATTTAATATAAATTGTATTGCCAAATTCATTTGATAAAAATTTTACTTCTGAAGAATTTAACCTTACTTTTTCCCATAAACGCCATTTTAGTTTTATTATTTACAAGCGAAGCTTGCTATCGAGTGTAAAAATTCCACTGTTTATTACTTCAGCCGGTGACTAAAACGTCATAAAGTCACAGCCTGTTAATGTGGAAGCAGATAAACAATAAAAACATATTATAATAGAAATAAGAAACGTCCAGGTACTTATGGAAAGTATATCGGTTTTCAAAACGCGCGCGTCATCTGGTGGCGCTCGATAGTATTATTGAAAAACAAGGTTTCTTAACAATACATTTAAAGCATACGATATGAACATCATTTTTAAATAAATAAGTAGTTTACTCACAAAAAAAAGAAAGTCTTACTCGACAAATTTTATTCGCAAAGTTGCAATTGCACAGCTTAAGCTCTGAAATTGAAAAACGTTGTTTGGTTTATGTACTCGATTAAGATTTATTATTCTTTATATGCTTACATACTTTCGTTTGTGTGTGTATTTTATGCATAGTGAATAAGTGTTTTTAATTGTAAATATTATTCAAAAACTTATCGTAAGTTGCATTTTTATTTTGTCAAATTCGGTAAGTGTATTTGCTGGTAAAGAATGACAAAACGTATTATAATTTATATTTAAGTTTGGACATTTTTAAGAAATCTAACACAAAATAGTCCTATTAAAAAACGCCAACAACTGCATTTTAAAATAGTAAACCACAAATTATATCTACGAATTTATAGCAACATAATATTATATATAAAATATAATATAATACCTGTTTTGGGTCTTCTACCGTTAAGTAAAGAGTTTCTTAATTAACGTTAATTCAAAATGCTGTTTCTCGATATTTTAAACATTTTGCGGCCTTTTTCTCAAAAACACTTGTTTGTAACCTACGCTGCTTATAAAACTACAGCTTTTAATAATTATTAAAAGCTGTAGTTTTCTCACGATTATGACGGCCACTAGCGATACTTCTTTGGCGTATATAACGTATACAAATTGAATGGTATGATTTAATTAGGCGTGATAGAAGGTCAAGGGGAGGAGGGGGGATTTTTGTAAACTCAAAACTTATATATATAAGTACAAATACGAATAAAGTGGTATAACAATTTTATTTGCAACACCCTAGTAAGTTGGCATTTTTATGAGGCAAAATAAAATAATATTTTGAGATTGAAAATGCTCTATCGTTTCTTTTGGAGAGCACAAAAGAGAAAAACCAGAAATTTATTAACAGTATAGCAAAATTAGGCCACTGAACGTTTTTTGTCAATTTTTATTTTTCTTGTTTATTTTCAATATTCTCGAAATTATTGTGATTTATCTAAATATTCTCGAAACGATTGTAAACTTTCCAAATGAGAAGATTACAAGTTTTCTCAATATTTTAAAAGCTACTTGGATAAAAAAAAACTCTTTTAAGTTAAACGGTTTAATCAAATCATGCTAATAATAAAAATAATAAAAAGTTATAAGGGGCCTTTCATAAAGTACCTCACACCTATTTAGGGGACTTCAGACCCCTCCTTTTTCCATCTCACGCAAAATAGCATATGTATAACACATGATGTCACAAAGTTAGCATTATTTTACAAGAAAGGCACTTTATTTTAACGATTTTATGGCTTTTGACAACAGTCAACTAACTTAAATCAAACTTCAGCCCGTGATTAAAAACCTGTTGCTAACTTCAACCCGTGACTAAAAGGCCATAAAGCCACAACTGGTCAATGTTTATTTAAAATGTCACTTAGTGTCATGGAAACATGTACAATAATAACAAATTGTATATTTTAAAACTAACTTCAGCCCGTGACTAAAAACCTGTTGCTAACTTCAACCCATGACTAAAACGCCATAAAGCCACAACTTGTCAATGTGTATTTAAAAGGTCACCTAGTGTTATTGAAACATATACAATAATGGGCGTTTTAAAGGTGGGAGTAGAAAAAAACTCTTAAAATATATTCAGTCTTATTTATTAATAATGTTGCTGGCGTTTAATTTACTAGAGTGTTTTATTGTTGTATAGAAAAGGTTAAACGCAACCGAATAACTTATAAAGATCTTTAAAAATTTCTATATAAAACACCACTTTTTAGCAGGTAATGATAAGTACCTGGCTATTCATTTTTTAACATCTATGCGCTTTCATATATAAAAGCACAAAATGTCCTTATAAGGTATTCGACGCACAAAATAGAAATACCTAATTAGTTTTAACCAATTTTGAATTATATTTTTAATAAGTATTATGAATAATAAATGGTTTACGCAGCTCTAAAGCTTTATATTGAATTATAGCAAACGCACATCCCACAGCTGACACCCATGTCGCGAATTCAGAGAATTACGTAATTTAGTGTGATTATAACTGACTAATTAGGGAAACAAAATTATTTTGCTTTATCGTTTTAATTAATTATAAGGCGATAATTATATTACCTAAAAAAATACCTTTTAAGAGATTTTAATCAATACAATTAAATGTTTTTATGACAGTTGTATACGTAATTAAACAGCTAGGCACTGACATTTTAATTAAATTTAATGGTTTATGTAAGGTGGCAAAAGCAATTTTAATGCCGTCAATTACATGTGTTTAAGGATTATGTACAATGTTTTTAGCATATTGTTAAGTTTTATTTGTAATTATAAAATGGATTGCTATTAAGGGGCTTATTAATTTTATCTTATTAGTTTTTTTAACTGGTCCAATTTGCCAAGGTCTGCTAAACTCTTTATAGGATTTTCTGCCCAAAGGCAATCTATTAAGCATCAAAGAAATTGTACTTTATAAAACATCTATTTTGTTGCTATTTTGTTTTTCCTCTTGGATTATAATTTTGTCAACGTTTCCTTTACAGTATTTTACTAAAGCTGGACAACGTTACATTTACACGGTTTATATATAAACATGTTTATAAACATGAGTAATGATGTAGATGTACATTTACCTAAATTGCTATATCAATATATTTATATACAATTATACAATATACAGTTTGTTATTATTATTAGACAATATACAATTTGTTATTATTTATTATAAACTAAAAATATCCAAAAAGCATGTGTGGACACTGAGGCCTTGATATATGATTTTGGTCTTAAAATTATCCAAAAATTGAGCCCACTTAGTATTAGCATCCAATTAATTTAAGTAAAAAACCATTGAAATAAGCTTAAATAAGTCTGTAAATTTTAATGGTTGACAGTATATCAAATTTTATTAGGACAATTTTTCCGAAAATTCATTTTTTTATAATTCTCTATTGACTTTTTGTGCTAACATTAGTATTTCACTAACAAAAAGTTAATAATACAAAAATGATGACTTTATACGCCTGTAACTTTTAGAATATTGACGAT